GGGTAACTTGTACATCCTGGTCAGTAACGTTTAAGCATAAAATTCAAATCTTTCCCTTGTGAACTTTTGACAAACTTTTTGTGACTATTATTCCCCATTCTGGAAATTATCAACTAAGATGGATCGGTCCTCTAAAGCATGTCCTATTTCCTTGCTTGGTCTCACCCAGAGGACGGACTGAGAATTTCCTGGTATTGTGCATGTGTTGACTGGATAAACTCGGAAAGATGCTTCTTTCAGCCCTGTGATTTTATGCACTTCCTTTTGGAGGTGAAAGCCTTTATCTCTTTCTGCAAAGAAAGGGATACAAACTCTGGACATAATTAGGCATTTCCTTCCGAAGTTAATTCTGGCATTTTCAGCTTCAAGCACATTGTGCCCTAGAATACCATCAAATGCTTGATCCGCTATCTTGGTAATTAATAGAGTAGCCTTGGCAAGGAGTAAGTTGTTAACCCACAAGATTGCGTCTAGGGATCCCCAAACAGGTATTTTCCAATCTTCTATGGTTGATAGCGTTAGACCAGGGGTGCGCATGATGGAATCACTAGTCACAAACAAAGGAGAAATTCAGAATACCTTGGATCCCATGTCAATTAGGAATTTGACCGGGACAGCAGTGACTGATGTGGACAGTAGGACGACCAGAAGCTTTGGGGATGTGGAAGGTCTGGTGAACAGTCGTTTCCCGACTTGTTGCCTGTGAACACCTTGATCCCTTCTATTTGCAGGCAGTCCAATTGTTCCTTTGATGCAAAGTGCACTCAGATACTCCTATCTGTTCTCACTGAATGACTGCTGGTGGGCAATCTTGCACCCTTTTGTCCCTTGCCTTTTTGTCACTTGCCCTGGCCTTTGGCCTGACCTGGGCTCAATGATCTGGAATCAGGGCTTTTGCTCCGACTCAGGGATCTCCCATCTTGGGATCCCCAGACCAAGCGTGGAAGCCCGTTGTCCGCTGGGAGAGAAAGCATCAGTCTTCTCCCTTGCGAGGGAACCAACGCTTTCTGTTCCCCTTGATAGCCACTCACACTGACTCCAGACCGAATTTCACCACATGCTCTGCATTCACTTGCATAGTGACCCGGACGTCTACAATTATAGCAAGTGCGTACTGTTTGACTAACACTAGTTTTTAATGCCAAAGTACAGAAAACTCTACAAGACTCAGCCGTCTGTTGGAACTTCCTCAGTTTCTCAACATTGGTTGCGGCCTCTATTGCTTGCTCTAACATGACTGGGACAACACTGAATCTCTTTATATAGTCAGGCTGCAGGCCTGCCATAAAGTGACTCAGCATTATCTTGTCTATCTGAGCCAATGAGCATTTGTGTCTTAAAGTCTCTTTGGCCAACATTGGGTTGGCAATTATTTTTGGCTCAGAATTCTCAACTCGTAAAACTTTAATTTTACTCAGGGCTTCCCCCAACTTTTTGATACCAATTTTCTTGATATGCACAGAATAATCTAGGATGTTTTTGAGGTCACCTTGCAATATCTTTTGCAGTTTCAGCACGCCCAAACCCATCAAATGACCACAATATGCCTTTTTGAGAGCTCTTACTATAGTTGGATAAGGGTGGTCTAACAATCACGGAGTGGAATTATTGAAGAATTCTTTTGCTTTTCCAGTAACTCGTTGATGAATTACTGATCTCATATGTGCATTGGTAACCTTGCAATGGGCTAGAGCTAGTCGGACTTCATTCCACCAGTCTACCCAAGTGCCTTTGGCGCCCAAGAACATTGGGATATTTGCCGAGATGTTATTGGCTATATTTTTATTGCCTTTATAAGCACCAGAATTGCGTAAAGTCTTCATGTTAAAAAAGACTACCTTGTCCTTAGTTGGGTTGTCCAACTGATTTAAAGTAAGTTCTCTCAATTGCAACTGAGTTCTAATGCCTAAGGCTTGTCCAACCTTGGCCTTTCTCCTATCAGTCTCATCTTTTAAGTGAGAAGTAAACTGCAATAACTGAGTGGTCTCAATGGCAAGCGTACTGTTGTTGAGTGCTGCCAGATTAGGAGTGAGAGAATCTATTATTGAATTGTAACTTTTCAGCTGATCAGCTCAAAACTCAATTTCCCTAGTTAAGGTGGCTCTTGTTTCAGCAGATGGTCTAGGCTTGGCATCTTATTTGGCCCTGACTCTCACATTTTCTGCTTGTAGCAACCTTACTAGTTCAGTTAAGTATCCAACCACAGCTTCTGGAGATTCATTTGCTATTCTTGCCCAATGGACACTGGGGAGTTTGTCTACTCTAGGTGTAGGCAACAGCATGGTGTTTATCAGGGATTGGTTGTCCAAAAACACTTAGCTCACGTAGTCACTCTTAACACTCTCACTTTTGCACGGGGGATCTCTTTTTTCAGTGACGACTAGTGGTTTTGAATTACTTTTCTTTTGACTGGGTTCTGACTTTTTTGCACAAATCTGTACACAATTTGTGAGTGAGAAATTTAATTTGTTGATCCGCAATTTGACAACTTAACTTTCCTCAGAAGCACTTTTACCTCAGTCTTTCTTTTTCTTGTTCAACTTCTTTGCACTAGTGTTTGCGTCACCTGTAAGAATTACTACACTTGGTGCACTTTAAATGCAGCAACTCTAGGGATCCACCCCCCTCAAAAGAGAAAACTACAGCTCTGCCAAATTTGTTATCCAAAAACTATAATTTTGAAGTTAGTGATCAACAATGATCAGTCATTGAGGACTTACTTTCTATAATTAAAGGAGAAGGGGATTGGAGATTTAAATTGTTTTCCGCAACTTTTGAGGGAAACACAAAAGTTACTCCATGAGAGTATTTCAAATGTTAGTTATTATATCTTCGCACACAGTCAATACAATAAAATGCTACAAAGCAAAGCTGGCGTGGTTTTGGCGTTTGGTCAGAGTCTGGTGCAGTAAACTTAACGCAGCATAAAATGCACCTGTATATATAGCTTTGGCCAGCCGAGGTCAAAGAATGCGCATAGAAACCAATTTGGATTGGGGATGTCACACTTCCCCACTTGGATTGGGAAATATAATTGCTAGCGCACCAGGCGCAGCCAAGCGTAGTGGAAATACATTAGCTTAAAAGGGTTGTGCAGAAAGTGAAGGGTGTTGTGGTCATTAATATGACTACAATCAATTTGGACATAGTCCAATGGCTGAATGGGACCATTCTTCTGCCATGGCTTTCTAAAAATTAACTTGACAAGAGTCCATTCAAAACTACCCAAGCCAGTAATGCCATGAGGTATGCCACTCTGGGTGAAAAGTTCAATTTCATACAATATCAAACCCTCAAACACTAATTCACTGCACACAAAAACAAGGAGGGAGCATCAGTAATGAAAATAAAATCAGGATTTGTTGATGGAATGCATGTTGAGTCCCCACAGCTCCCCATTTGCTATTGAAGCAGATACTACTGGACAATGTTTGGCAGCAAGCACACCAAGAGCTTGAGGGGTAGGGTACCCACTTGAATGGGTTTATATGCAGACATATTATTCCAGTAATGCATGGTATAGCTCTGCTCAGCATTTTTGAGAATACTTACAGAAATATTTTGATCATGATTGAACCACAGTTGCCATGAAGTAGAGTTGATGGGACTGGGTAAAAGGCACCTGTCAAAACATCAAACACAAGCGTGTATGTGCAGTGCATGTGAAATTGATCAACTTAATTTCCAAACTAGAATCAGCATGTTTGTTAACTTGCTGGTAAAATTTCTGGGGCCAATTCAGAAGCTGAATGATGATTGCATAACATCTCTACTTCACAGAATATAGTGTCATGCTTGTTGATTGCAAGGAAATGCATAAACAAGGAAACGTGGGTTAAATAAATTGCATGGTATATCAGGTGCAATCAGTACCAATGAAGATCAGTCTATAGAAGTTTAACCAAGTGTGTGACAGAAAGTGTTTGCAAATCAAAAATGGATAATGAATTGAAAATATTACTTTCAAAAGCAAGGAACCATTTTGTACCCATATTTACTGACTCATTGTTTGATTGTCTTTCTTGTTATTGAAAAAAATATTTCTTCAACTCACTGATGTCCAATATTCTGATGCCCTTACAGTAACCAGGTTTCAGTAAATTTGTTGCATTGAACTTGCAGACGGTGTTGATCACCCTTGTCAACAAACATGGTCCATTGGAGCCCCATTTGTATAAGGATTAAACCTGGAGAATAAGAGGAGGAAAATAAAAATTGTGTGAGGTCAAGATTAATCATCATTCAAATTCTTTGGGGAACCATACTCCTTATTCAAGGGAAACTTCTGAGGTAAAATTGAATATTTTAATTGTATGCCCTATGCATGAAAAGAGTTGTTTGAGGCATTGAAGCTATTGAAAATCAACCCAATTTTGATGCTTACTCACTGCACAGATTCACTTATTTCTTACATAAGTTTGACAAAATGACCAATGAGCAAGTTAAAGATTTAAAAATGTCAAGTTCTTGGTTTCAGTTCAGGCTAAAATCTAGTCTGTACTTCTTTGTGGTCTAGCAAGCTGGTAAATTTTTTAATACTTCAGAGAGCTGAGTTTCTGAAATAAGAGATCATGTCAGAAAAATACACTCAATCATTTGATATATACTGTACATACATATATATATATCCAAGAGACGTTTCCTCTTGGATCCTGCAGGGTCAAAGAAAATCAGTTACACATGACATCCATCACAGTCAGTAGAATCTAGGTGCTTGGTCTTTTGGGGAGAAAAAGCATCATGCATTAATGGGGATTTTGTTTCCATGTTTAAGATAGGTAAAAAAAAAAGGAACAGATGCAGGGGGGAAAACAGGTATTTTTGCAGAAGGAATAAAGAAGGCAATTTTGCTTGTAGGGAAGAAACCTGCCACAAGTGTAAATGTTTCTAGGTTAAGATAGTACAGTATTACAATAGTTCCATAGAGGATTTCTTTAACCAGGTGTTCATCTTTTTTGGAGACCTATCAATCAACTAAAAAATAATTTTGGAACTCACTTTGCAGACAGCTCATTCATGCAGGCTTCAATGTATGGATGGTGCTTATCAAAAACCAATGCTGCACCATTAAGCTTTTTGGTACCCTGAAGACCCACAGCTTTCACCAGATCATCCATTGGCCTCAAGACAATCACATCAGTATCCAAGTACAATCCACCATATTTGAACAGAGTGGCATACCTCATGGCATTACTGTCTTGTCAAGTGGACTCTTGTCAAGTAAGTTTTTAGAAAGCCATGGCAGAAGAATGGTCCCATTCAGCCATTGGAATATGTCCATATTGATGAACATAACATTTGGGTACATTTCAGACCAGGATTTCAAAACTATGGGCAGCTGCAAGAACTTATTGTTCACTGCCATTACCACAGATCTGTTGGGGTGATGTAGAGCTGCAGACTCAACTGCACAGAGCTGTTTGGGACTCAACATGGGCAATCCTGATGTCTCCATCAAGTAAATCGCATTTTCTGGGATTTTTGAGGGATCAATGGTTTTCAATGTCTGTTGCACCTCATCATTGTCGGATTGACAAGATTCCAGCATATTTTTTGGTCTACTGATTAAAATTCTGACCAGGATCACATTGATCAGAACAAAGAAAACCATATGCACTTGAAATACTTCTTTTGAATAATGCCTCGTCCACGAAAAAGATTCATGATTTCTCTTGAAGTACGCGTATTATTGATA